GGACGTCGCTCCTCCTCGTCCTACCTACTCCTTCGTCTACCAACTATATATATATATATATATATATATATATATATATGTATATATGTATATATTGCTTTTCAGCAGCTGCCAGACAACAACTACTGACTCCCCCACCTCCTCCAGTCCGCTTCTGCTACAGTGCAGTAGAAACCAACCTAGCAATCATCACCGCCTCCGCGCCCGCCCTGCGCCCCCTCCTCAAGACGCGCAGCTACGCCCCCAGAGACAGGGGGGAGACGCGGTCTGCCACGGCCAAGAGCCACTTCGGGACCTCCTCTTTCGCAATGGGGGACCTGAAGAGGGGAAATGTCGAGATTTGCGGGGTGAGCCCATCGGGGAGCGAGGAGGAGATTATGACGTGTAATGGGATTGTGAAGACCACAGAGGTGGATGTCCAGGTCAGTACCTCCATCGGCCCCAGCTCGTCTCGTCGTGCGGATTGCTCTCCTTGTCCGGGTGTCTCGGGCCGAGAGCGGGTTTCGCTCCCGAGTTTGGCCCCCCTCCCCCCCTCCCCTGAAGCATGTAGACCGGAGACCTTGCTGACTCCCGCCTCTTCGTAGTACGGAGACAGCAGATCTACAGTCGGGGGTGATTTGGAGGACGCGAGAGCGAAGCACAGGTTCGATTACTACTGAGTCATGAGTTATGACACGTGGGGCTGGTTCGAAGCAAGCATTAGAGGAAGAAAACGTCTCTGTTTCGATGTTGTGTATGGATTCCCGAAGGCGTGTTACCTACCACCCATGTTTGTGAGGTCCGGTGAACGAGGAAGTGGCTACCACCACAGACCATTCCTCATTTTCTGTATGAGAAAATGTATTTATTTAATCTTAACTTCATCAACCTTGCTGAGTTCGGGTCAAAAACTGCATTCCTCGCGGTTCGGCTGAAGGGTGGTTTCAACAAAATGACCGGATAGTTTCGAGCGCTCTGAAGAATGCTTTTGCACACTTTAGATCCAGAGGAGAGATAATTGTGTGTCTGGTAGAACAACCATCAGAAAAGTGCCGACCCGTTGAAGGAGCTCTGGATGTGATTAAGCGAGGACCTTTCCGGCCAGCCACGACGGTACTGTGGCAAAAAATGAGGCCGACTACCTGTGGCTAGCTATCTCAAGAAGTGAAATAACGAGGAGTTGTGTAAATAAAAGATAGACATTAGGGCGGTGAAAAGCTTACACATTAATAATAGCGTTACAATAAACCGAACTCACCTAATCGCCGCTGAAGCCTACTAGGAGGCTCCATAAAAGCAGCCCAGTTCGTCCAACACGACCTTACTACATGCACAAGATATGCATCACGTGTCCATGAGCCAACCCAAACAGACCATCAACCAACCGGATTCTCCCTCCTGGACTCTTGCATTAGCATCTCGAAGCAAGAGTACCCTATCCGCTTGTGGATCACGGTCGCTGAGATCTTGCTGCCCCATGCGTCTCAGACTCCACCCACACGAGGCGGGAGGCAGAGAATGGAGACGGTACCTTGAACTACTCCACCACAGCCGGCTCAGTTACCATCACAGCTCCCGTAATCGGTACAATGACGGACCACAGGTGATAGAATCTAGAAACCATTTGGCGAGGCATAGGAACTGACTGCTGCCCGGCCAGAGCGTCTTTGTATCAAAAAGCAAGGTCTGAGCGGCCCCGAATGGACACCGTCGAGTCCACTCGGAAAAAAACTATGTAGTGTATACGGGAAGGGCAGCGACTTTCGTCTTATTCGTCTGATCGTCAATCTCGTGTGGAGAAATTGGGGGTTTCTATGAAACGGGCCAATCACGGACGGATCAAGCGGGCTCTTCCTTTCAATCTGACTAAACTATCGGCGGAGTAGAGAAATTGTGAGACCTGGTCTTTATGTGCAGACTTCATGCTGGGGCGTGCAGCTTTCCGGAGGCCATGGGTGGTTTATGGTCTGTGGGACCGTTTGCGTGCGATCTGCCGGGAGTGGCTTGCTGGTTAGGCAGGTCGTCAATTTTTGAGGAAGAGGAAGAGGAGGAGGACGAGAGGTGGAGTTTGGCCAGTTCCAGTCGGAAGATTTTGCTCGCGTGGGAAGAATCCCTGCGAGGGTGGCTGGGGCAAAGCAGGATGGGAGAGATGCCATATCGTGTCGTATCCTACCCCATTCTCTTAGGAAGGATAGCATCCGTGCCTGTTCTTCCCATTCCATTCGGTCGGTCTGTGTAGCTTCATCTGTGGCGGAAGCTTCGATCAAGCAAAGTCCGAAGACGAGATTTCCTCCCCCATGGAAGGGGAAGACCAACTCAGAGTCACCCGGCGATCAAAGCTGTCAGAGCTACAGAAATGGGACGACGGGCAGGTACCAATGGTCGTTTGCAGGAAACCGTGGGTAGCTGTACTACATAGCTGTACGGCATCCACTCCAAGCTCGGTTCTGCTGCAGCCTCCCGTTCGTTTGCTCCCTGTCAGAAGCGGCTTTCCACCTCCAGCCGGTCAGTGCTGACGAACCCAACGCCACAATCCACAATCGACCCCTCAACTATGAGCTTTATGAACACGTTCATTCGCGCATCTGTTCTGTGTAACAACGGCGGACACGTGCATCTGGGATAGTAGACTGTAGGGTTTTAGCCGCACCGCAGCGGCGTGAGTGCCAAGCAATCCGACGTAGGTAGGAACTGTAAGAGAAGTCTAAACGTAAAAATGATAGAAAAGCGAGGAAATCGAAATCTTGAAAGTGTGAAAGATGATTGATATGTTTTGCGGCCCGCAAAAGTAGCTTCTTGTGTGTTGAATGGCAACGGGAGGCTGGACAGAGCTTTAGCTTTGTCAAGGTCCCATGTTGAATAGGCCGTGTTATGACAAGCAAGAGGAAGCAAATGCGGAGGGCACCCGTTGTTGCCGGCTGTGGTCCCTTCTTCGGTACTCTAGAAGGTTATCCAGAGATTTCTAGATATGGCCAATCCTGGTGGACCTTTTTCGTTCCAGCTTTCGTTCATATAAGTGTACACGTCCCTTCACAGCTCCCGTGTGATGGTTCCCATTGTCTAATCCGCGTTCGCTACCCCATCAATCATTTTGCATATATCATATACTTTTTATTAGGGAACAGAAGTTAGTGTGTTTTTAAGTGTCTCAGCAAAGTTTGGTAATGTGAAGGGAAACATACATACCTATACTGAAGGTAAGCAACATAGCTTCCCTTGCTCTGCTGGCGGTGTGGCAAATACAGCATGATGACTGGAAGCAGGATAATCTGCAGCAGACAGCCTAGAAGGCCAGACCGCAGAGAGGTTGAGCAGAGTTCCCGAACTGTCGAATGAGGATCGAGAAGCCATTGCCCATCACTTATGATTCGATCGAATCATCCACTCCGGATCTAGACTTCAGGGACGCAACATCCTGAAAGCAAAGCTCTATAGCTGACCGCTTAAGAGTCGAATGCTTCCTGAATCTGACCGCCTTCACACCGCATCCTGTTTGACGGTGTTGCTGCATTGAATCGCAGGAGGTATCGAGGTGCGCAGGCAACCTGCTTTTGAAGCACTTCTTGCGTTCGATTTGGAAGCAGAACTCGCGCAAAGCTACATACAGAGCCCGAGACAGGACGGCGGTGAGGCGTTACCAATATGTTTATCAACGCAAAGCCCCGGGCTGTCTCGAACGGCTTCGAAACCTTTGTCCCAAACCACAGAGCGAACTTACTCCACCGAAGGCTTGTTGAGATGACGAACAACGACGTCAACGCTTGGAGTATCTTCAGGCCCGTGGCACCATCAGTATCCGATAACTGGGACCACAATCTCGATGAATACGGCAACAACGAAAACTTTCAAGTATGGTCTCCCTCGCCTGGGAAAGATTTTGACAGGATTGACAAACTGGATAGGTTCATAGTCTGTACGGAGGATACATCCAGGACGACTCCGCTGGTGCGCAGAACCAAACCGTCAACCTTCCAAGGACAGTAACGTTTGCCCCAGCCCTCCAGACTCAGTGCCAGTCATACAAGAATGTTTCGACCTCGCAGCAAATCTACCAGGAACCGGCTCCTGGGATGAATTGCTTCCAAAGGCCTAGCCCTATGCTTGGTAATGACTATTCACAACTAAGCTTGGGCCGAGGGCGAGGCAGCTTCGCGGAGTTCTCGAGCGTGCGGAATGTCTTGAAAGATCTCAGTTACCGGACCCAGTCCGAAGTAAACAATGCAGACTGCACCCCATCGTCATCATCCTCTGGGCTCTCGCAGTCATCCTACCCTGACGAGAGCTCCACCATCAACACACCAGCAGATACGACTGATACGAGTCCCAACACGGCATACAGCACTTACTCGCCGCCACAAGCCTCGGTTAGTCATTGTGTGACCAATTCTTCTGACGCGCGACACAGTAGCATGGCGACGGCTAATCCACAAGGCTGGCAGGGTGATTTGCGTAGCAGCAGAAACAGCCAGAACACATACGAGCCTTCCACGGCCCACGACGGGCTGCCAAGGTATCCACAGCAGCAGTTTCACAATCCATGGACAACAGATTCTGCCCTGGGGGATACCTGGTCAGCACAATCGCTGGCTGCAAATACCATCTCGCCAAAGATGTTGACTCTGAACGTTTCGACCCCGTCGCTGTCATCATCCAGTTCACGCCGAGGATCGGTGATGGCACTTTCCGATTCGAGCTCAGCCTTTAATTTGGAAGACGATCTCGGAAACTTCTCAGGGCCTGAGCCTCTGCCAGTCGTCGAGCCACAGCAACCAGTCCGCAGACCGCGTCATATGCTTCCTGACTCCGTCCTAAGTTCACGTAGAGTCGTGCCAGTAGTCCCCAGCAATGACTTCGTTTCGAAGAAGAACAACAAGAAGCGGCCAATGAAGGAATCCAGGCCGTCGAACAACAGCCGCAGAAAGAGCAGCCTCTCTACGAGAAGCACTCCGGTTTCCACACAAAGCCAACCACCCCCACAAGCCTCCTCGAGCACATCAAAGACCTCAAGACCTCATGTGGCGCTCAAGAGGGTCGAGCCAAAGCCTGTCGACCCAGAAACACTGTCGCTATCTGCTGCAGCAGTGCAAGCGATGCATCAGCGAGACTCCAAAGACGATTTCTTGGTTCGTTCCAAGCTGGCTGGTATGTCTTACAAAGACATCCGCCGCAAGGGGAAGTTTACCGAGGCGGAATCAACCCTTCGAGGACGATTTAGGACACTTACAAAGCATAAGGCAGCACGGGTACGAAAGCCAGAGTGGTCAGATAATGATGTGAGCAATCCACTTCGGTGGTTCTGGAAATGTCGACTGACTTGATGTAGATCCGACTTCTCCAGAAAGGGGTGCGTAAATATGGGCAGGGCTTGGACTCTTCGACTCCCAAGATCCCGTGGAAGCTGGTGGCCGATTACATTGCCGACCACGGTGGATCGTATCACTTTGGCAATGCTACCTGTCGAAAGCGATGGGATGAGCTTCAGGATGAATGAGATTCGAGGACATGTGCAAAAAACGTTTCGACTTATCTGACCTACTCTGCAGGCGGCAGACCGATGGACAGATAAGTTAGCTATCGTCGACGGCACCAGATCACCGATTGCCAGTTGATGCGAACCATCGTCCTAGATTCGGAATTGTGAGAGGGCTGTTGTGTACGGGCTGTATGTACGAGTATCCGGGTTGCAACTTATCATTCGACTGGTCTGTTCATGATTTTGCTTTATAATAGTAATTCGTTCATAGACCGAGCTCAAAACTTGACGTCTTGGCATTTCCCTAGAGTCGTTTTTCATACTCTGGTTTAGAGGGAACCCCAATTGCACTCAGAATGTCTGTCAATTTGGACTCGTCGTCGCGCAATGCGTCCCACTCTTCTTCGCTTTTCACCAAGAGAGTGCCGCCAAGGACGGTTCCGTTGAGCGAAATTGGACCAATGATTTCTCCGTTCTTACTCTGTATGGCCGTTCCTTCAGAAGTACGAGGGCACAAGATGAGGGCTTTGTCAGTTAGGCCAAGATTGTAGCTGATAGACGAGGCTTGTGCCTCCAAGTTTGGATTTCGGTTTGGGTTTCTCTGGAGTAATTGACATGCTTGGTCGTACAGATTGAGATAAATCCGGTGAAGCTCCTCGGCGGATGGATTTTCTGAAAGTTTTGCAGAGAAGTACGAGAATGGCAATATTGGCCTAGGTTCCTGGATCAGATCATTTGCCAAGACGTGCCATTGCGAACCATCCTCAATGCCACTCTTCATCGACTGGACGGGGAGAAATTGTATGTGACGATGAGGCTGACTTGCACCAGAACAATCTCCACAATTGAAGAAGCCGAATAACTCCTCCCCTTGCTCCTTGTAAGCCTTCAAGCATGCATAGGCCGCCTCGAGATCTTCCTTCTCCAGCAGATCTGCTTGCTGTTTGAAGTCCTTGGTGGCAAGAATGAAGTGATTCGGGATAATGTGGAATTTGTTCAGGACGAGATAATGAAAAGGCGGTAGGGCGGTGATGAAGAGGCCTGCTGGTGGGTCCTCGAACGGATCGAAAGGTTTCGATGACGGCGTCTTGGGCTTATTCGATATGGGTTTGTTCCCAAGGGCGGGAGAGAAACGGAGTTGGAATTGTGCGACTTGAGCGGTTGCATTTGAGGCTTGGAGGACATTAGGTACTGAGATCCCCTTGCACTGGAGGATTTCAACTCGAGTCGCGTAAAACATGAGATCTCCATTCTCTTGCGCAGCTTTGAATTGCTTCCGAACAAGAGCTGGGAGGTTGGATATCGTCACCATGATGCTGATTGATAATGATGTTGATGGATACTGATGTTGCTCCAATATCAAGCTTGGCGTTTTTGTTCAGCCTCACTAAGCTCTGCACAGCCACATATCGGCTCGCGTCGCCTTATCTTCAACGTTTATCTAAGCGGTGTCCAGAGAAAAAGGCTACATAGATAGTCCGTCACTATAGTCTTATATTATTTATCAAAAGCTGTACAACGACGTGTCACATCCGAGTTTATCACAGCCGACAAACAGACAGTGACCAATAACAGTGCGCAGAACACTAGTAACACTCAATAATTCTTACGCTCACCTACTATCTATCTATCCGAACCAACTTTATTCCTTTAATCTTCGCACTTTACAAAGTCGTTTCGCAAAGCTTGTTTACGACAGGGAGACTAACAAGTAAAGGTTTCATTATGCATATCTCACCCTCCCAGCTTCCGAGGAACGATCGATCAGTGATTGACATGTAGTGAGTGATACAGGAAAGAGGAGTTTGCTTGTATCCCACCCCCCCCGCCTACCATGGGGATTCGGCAACCTTTCCAGAGAAAGTAGCAGAATACCCATTGCATATAATCCCTTCTGTGTTTTCGATTCCCAGGGCAGAGAGTGAAATGTTCTGCTATGCAAGAGGTAACCCACCCCTCGATACTTCCCAACATAACGATGATTACGATGCAACTCCTGGCAAGCTCAACCACTACCGATACCCAAACCTGCCAACTGGCTCTCCGAGACCAAGCCCTCGTCAAGCATCTCGGCTAGTAAAGGCCGGGTGTTGCGGAACTCCTCCAGCGCATTTTGAAAGGCCTTAGGGTCGCCTAGCAAGGCCTGGGTCAGGTACCCCTTGAGCATCGCCTCAAATTCCTATCAGAGCCCGGGTTAGCCACCTCCTCCCCGCGACTAGAAACTCCAGGATGAGAAAAAGAGAGAAAATAATCACCTCGTCCTCATGAGCGTGCGTAGGTGCCAAGGCCTTCGCTCCCGCATAAAACTTTCCAGCATTCCTCAACAGCACCTCCCGATTATCAAACGCAGCCTTGAATCCACTCTCCCCCAGCTGGAACCTTCCCACCTCGCAGTCACCCCTCGCAATATGGATTTTCACAATGTTATCCGCGCCATAGATCTGGCTCGCAGCCGTGAAACACTTCAGTGCGTCTGAGAGCGCGGCCCACCGCAGTTGGAGGGTTTTGGCATCGTGCAAAGAAAGACGGACTGTGGTATTGAATGTCACGAGGGCTTCGGCGAAACGGCAGAGGCCCTCGGCGGAGGTGTCGAGAGGGAAGGCGTACGCGGTTTTTATGCTGGAGAGGTAGCTCTTGGAATCGAGAAGCGAGGCTTGGAATTTTAGACAGGAGTGGGCGCTGGTGAAAGTCGCGCGGTATATGGCAGCCTCGAGACCCCGGTTTGTACTTGGAGTATATGCTGGCAATCTAGGCTCGTGTTAACTGAATATTTTCTCAGGAAACATTACACTACGTTGCGGCCAGGTTGGAGCAGCTCGTGTAAATGTCCTTGTTTCATAACTTTGAGAAATCATTCGGGGCTGGGGTCTTACTTTACTTCAATGAGATCTTTGGCGTATTGCTCAATCGACCCAATAGCTCGCTCATCGACCCGAACAATCAGCCCACACATGGTAATCAAAGTCTCGAGCTGTGCCAGGATAGTATCCAGAAGCACACTGTTAGTGACCGGCTCGATAATACTAGCCCATCTCTCGTCCTGAGCAGGTTCCCCGCCATCTATATCCATCGAAGTATCTTGTGCGATAGCAACACCGCCTTCCTCGGTATCACTGACGTCTCCAGAATTGTACTCTGTATCAAACATGGACTGGGCCTCTTGACTTTGGGCAGCCGAGTCTTTGGCCTGCTTCTCCTGGACCTCGAGGCATTTTTGGAAAAGCCTCAAGGCTTCCTCAATCAGATGCAAAGGAGCTGGGCCTGAGGGTGACTCGGCGAGCTTTTCCGTTAGACTGACAAGGATTTGAGCGGTGTTGCTGAGTATGTCAGTCAGTGGAGTTTTTATCCAGGAGTGACGCGTCGATGCCGCAATCATGATTTGTTTCTGCCATATATTGCAATAGCTTGAATGAAGACCGACAGAAGTGCAAAGCCAGAGGAAATGCTTGTGATGAAAAAACTCGGAGGGATCATTGGGTGGGGTTGCACCATGTCGTTGATAACAACCGAAGTATAGAATGAAAAGAGTGTTTACAGACTCACAACAAAGCATCGGCGTTCTCTCCGTTCAAGCTCAGTGCAAGCCTACTGCTTTCAAGAGCAGTCTGGAGAAGATCTAACAGAGACATAGGAAGCTCTTTCAGCAATTTTGGATGTTGAGTGAGCTCATACTGAACTCTAGCTCTGGTACCACCACAGGCTTAGCAGTTGCCCGGGTCGTGGAGAGGGTTACAATATTCACTTATTATATGCCAAGTCAAAGGACCCTGGAAACTTCCTCAGAGCTTCATCGTAGCAGTCAATGGCTCTGACGAAGAATCGGGTGGACTGAGTAAAGATGTCAGCAACTTGTGATCGCGTCCGTCACATGAGGTCCGGATACAAACTTTTGCACGATCCCCTCCTCTCCACTTCTCACCGGCTTCCTCGAAGTCTACGCCGGCTACAGTGATGGTCAATCTCCGTCCTCGAATATCAACTGGATGGATGGATGGCTTACCAGCCAGATACTCGTCCGCTGTCTGAGGCGTCTGTGCGTATGTGAGCTGCTATAGCTAAAATCCGGATCTGCTTTGGCGGGTTGTGTCCTACCGCTGCAGCATGCTTCGATTTCTTTTTCACCGAGAGAAATTGCTTCGGTTTCGGCATCTTGAAAGGCTAGGGCGTTGGTGAAGCGGTTCGTTTTAAAGAGGGGGAGAAGGAGGAGGAGGAGGAGGAGGAGGAGGAGTCGTAGCCTTGCGTCAGTATCAGTATTCCAAGTGTGACTTGTGTTCTGGGCCTCATAAAAACTGATATGTGTATATGTGGATATATGTATGTTGATATTTATGACTCGCATCTATCGTAAAACCACAATGAAAACCTTAATTAAGTATTGCCTGATATTCAAGCTTCCATGTATTGTGGGGGCATAGGAACAAGAAGCGCCCTCGATCCGATATACTGTAGAATGACGAGATGATTGTTATCGCCACGTTTCAGGAGGTCTCGACTCGAGGTCGCTTGCCACGTGTGCGGTTGGGTCTGTTCGGCGGATGTTTACTAAGGGTCCGAGGCGCTGAGACATCTACCTCCGGATTACTACCTACCTAGGTACCTAGAGTACCGGTACTACTACCGGTATGTACTTCACTACTTCCGAACTATCAATTTGCCCGCCCGCCTTCCCAGTGCCCACCTCGCTGCCGTTAATCTTTACTACGAACGTACAGTATGTTGTACGGTAGTAGTGCGGTAGTAGTACAGTAGTAGAACAGTAGTATCATTATTAGGTCTCGGACCTATTTTGCCAAGTGATCAATCAGCCTAGGTAGTACTTACATTCCCATTGCAATCTCGGCTACGAAAGGACTGGCTTTTCATTTCATTGATTCACCGTCCGAACATAGCGAATCGCTTCTGCAGGTTCTATCAGACTCGAGACGAAAGAAAGCCTTGACCTCGTTGCTTATCCAGGAAAATAGCCAGTCAGCTGACATAGTAAACAAGGTTTTCGTAAGACGAACCCGTCAAGTGGTACTACTGTACCGGTAGTAGTACTTACTACGTAGTTGTACCGGATCCTTACAGTGCGGAGTACCTACTAATTGTAGTTAGACCTTGGCGGGATCTTTCTACTGTACTAGGTACTTGTAGTACCTTGTACTGTAGCGGTACATGCTGGCGAAAACATACTCTTCCTAGCCTTCTGATTGGCTTTCGTAGTGAATAGCTACCTACAACTACCTAACCCTCTTCGCAGCACCTTGCATATACGTAGTACAACTACAAGGAAAAAAGGTATAATACCCAAAAATTACTTACGAGATACGTACGGAAAGTCCGCTGCTCAGGACCCCTACCACCTCCTGTTTGAGAGTGAGACTCAGCCTCGTGGCATGCAAAAGAATCAAGAATCAGGCCGCACCCTCCGGATCCTAAACCTTCCCACACATAAACCTTGTCGGTGTCGGCCTCAACAACGATATCCACCACCTCTTCCCCCTCCATCCCCTCCTCCTTGATCACCACCGGCCCTGCAATCTGCTGCCCCCAAACACTTACTTACCTCTGCCATCTCCGAGCTTCAGTCTCGCAACTCACAACCCTGAAGGATCGGGAAACATGAAACAAGGAAAAATGGGAACTTCTGATGAGTCTTCGCGCCTCATCATGGACCCAAGCGTGAGTCTTCCATCTTTCTCGAAGTACATCTTCCGCTTCTGGCCATCCCACAGCCCCCTCGACCTCAGCTCAACTGACCTCTACTCACCAATATCACTCTAATCATCTTCCCAAGCCCAGCTAGCTGACCATGCATTCCTCCGACCAGCTTGCCTCCCAGCGCGCCTCTACCCGCTTCAGCACCTACAGCGCCGCCCCCTCTGTCGCCAACACCGTCCAGACAACCCTCTCCTCCGACTCGGCCAACCAGGAAATCAGTGACATCGAGAATGGCCTGATCAAGCTCGAGAACAAGAAGCTGGCCACGCAGCGCTTCGTGCCCACCAAGGAGAAGACTGAGCACCTGAGCTCGCTGGCGCTAGGGGCTAAGCTGGAGAGGGCTCTCGGCCGCAGGATGGGAGGACAGGATGCAGTGATGCGCGAGCGGAAGAAGACGGTGACGGAGAATGAGAAGCCTGCCATGCAGCCGGAAGAGGTCGCCCCCGTTACCTGAGTACCGCTCTCTCCACACTTCAGGACATGGATATTTCAGGGGGTTCAGGATTGGGCGGAAGTAAACGACCTGCCAGAGGGTGATATGAACTGGTCCCTACGGATGGATGGATACGGAGTACAGACGATGGCGATGACACTGAGATGCAACTAAACCCGCGGGCTTTGCTGGGCTTTACGATTTCCCGCCTCTGCATCTTTCTTTCGAAACACCCGGATCTTGGTTGCGTTTGTACGATGTGGCTGCGTTGGACATCTTCGCTTTTTCGATATCAAGGACTTGGCCGAGGGTCTGGTTTGGGGTTATTGCTTTCGCAGGATACACACACGCTCTGTGCGGGATAGGGCACAAATAGGAAACGCTACTTCTCTTTTACCACTACTGCACCCGTCGACTTAATCTGGAGTTCTTCACTGTGCTCTGCGTCCAGTCGTCTCGAGGCTTACAAGGTGAGTACTGGGGGCGACAGGGATTCAAAAGGTTCTTTTAATCTGGTTGATATGCTGTTTCTATTGCTTCCATCTGTTCAACTACGCTTCTCTATGAAAGATACCTGGGTCATATAATATAATGCAACCTTGGATGGGGCATTCGGGGAGCCGGGATAGGTCACGGCTGGGTAATTAATCCATCGATTAATTGGCTTCTCTCCTCAATCTACCTACGGACACGGCTTGGATGGGAAAAAAACTCTCTTTTCTAAAGTTTACTTTTCATGTGATCAGGCACTCGCCAGTCACTTATTATTCTTGAATATTTCTTTGATCCACCGTTTATCTTTACCATACGTAGCGCGCACTTTTTTCTTCCTATGATGAATCTTCAAGCTTCGGATTGAAAACATCCTTGGCAAACTATTAATTTGGGCAACCGCATTGAGGTATTGATGATTGACGTATAAATGATCCTTATTTCTATCCGATCAAGCATCTCTTCCTCCGTCCTATTAGAAATTTATGGCAATTGTTGTATTTTTGCCGTACGCATAGGTTTCTTACCCGCCCGCAAGATGTTCTAAGAATACACACGACAAAACCACCGCATAAACTCGACAGGATGGCGCCCAAGGCTGCCAATCACCCCTAATAGTACCTAGGAGTTGACCTCGCAAATTTTAGGGCCCTTTCTTCTATCAATCTCAGTTTCTTAACTGATCAGTGCACGGTTGACTGCGCAAAGATCTATGGGAGGATGGACCTCCAAATTAAGCGAGAGCTACCAGGCAGAGGACCAAGTTATCTGTAGTGTCACCAACAGGCGAACTACTCGATCTATAATAATTCAGCTGATAATCAGAACCGAAATTCAATCGATAAATTTTCTATGATATAATCTATATTGTTTAAAGCTGAAGATTTTATATAATATAAAATAATACATCTGACTTCAAATTATAAATTAAATAATAGTGTAAAACGAAATATATATAAAAAAGTATTATCGAATAAAATATATATATATCATAATTTATTATAAATGGAAACCCCTTTAGACGTCTCTTTTCATCGGAGAGATTTCGGATCCCTTTGCGAATTACTTATATTTTAGTACTTTATTATAAGGGAAAGACCCCCTTAAGCCTTTCTTTTTAACGAGGAGACCCCGGACTATCTTGCGAATTACTTATATTACTAGGCTCGATTGAAAAAAAAAGTTTGCCCGTGTACATCTTTATGAATTAAGCGTTTGAAGAAAAAAAAAAAAGAAAAAAAGAAACCTTTGTTCCTAAGTTTAAAAGAGTATCTTTTATTCTTAGCGAGCTGTTACCTCTATTTCACTAAGGTTCTTTCCAATTTACTATTCGACGAACCTTCGCTATTGCTGGCTTATAGGTATGAATTGCGCCACCTCGGGATTTTTCGCAAATTAAAATCAATATAACCGACTATTAGACCTGAATTTTTCGATAAGCTCGAAAAAAAAAGAAAAATCTTAGTTCCATTGCATCTCGCAGTTTTCAATAAACGGCTTTCTTAGCCTTATTGAAAGCTCAATTAAAAACAAAAAATGGCCCGTGCACTTCTCTATCAATGACGACTCTGTATAAAAGAAAGAGAGATGTGGCCCGTGCATGCGTATTCAAATAACGCGTCGACGCGCCGCGGTACGTAGCTTACTAGAGTAATAACACGTGACTAGATAACTCATTCATCGTTACAATCGCCGATAATGGATGCCAAGCCACTTGGCAGAATGAGGCTCAGCTGTAGGATATATTTAATCCGGGACGACCTTCTCCAAAATCTAAAATTACTTGCCAAAATTTCTCTCTGCACTGCACATAAATCCTGTACAAGCCTGCATAGAATTGGTAGTCTTATGTGACTGCAGGATGACTTATCGCTACCATAATCCCTGGTGCTTATCTGGGGTCACCATGGGTGATAATAACTAATTTATCTCCACTGATTAGAAGTCAAGCCTTGGGCAATCAATCCAAGCAGTGCGTCGACGTCGACGTCGACCTTGTGGAGTCGATACCCAGCCTTGGGCGCTACTTTATCGAGTTTGTGTGGTACCAACCTAGTTCGATTTAATATTAAAAGTAATTACTACATATGTTCGCCTTCTTAAATCGAAAAAGGAAGATTGCAATATTTTGAGCATTACCAGCCAGGCGCAGAATCGAAGCACGATCATTGGAGTCAACAGCTCTGGGCGACATTCCCAAGTGCTTATGCGAGTACCTAAGTAAGTACGTTGATCTTTTTTAAATTGAAAAAGGAAGATTGCAATACTATGAAAATAATCAGCCAAGCGTGAAATCGACATAGACGTCTCGAGTCTCATTTTCAAAAAGAGATATATATCTCTCTCTTTCTTGTATATGCTTCTGAATTTTAGATTCATCAGCATTCTTTCCTTTGCAAACTTATTCCTCTTTCGTCAGATCGCGCATCGTTTGTTTTTTTTTTTTTTTTTTTTTTTTTTTGAAAGAAAAAAGGACTGGGATAAATAAGCACGATGCTACAATCAAAGTCTATCTTCGCGATTTTGCTCGCCTTAAGCCTTCTCTTTAGTGAAGCTCACGGATTTTGGTGGAACATGAAAGTTATCGGCTATGCAAGAGTCCCCCCAGTAAGTTTCACTCACTTGATTTACTATATGGCAGAAGTCTTATACTAATTACGCGAACTATAGGGAACGGCTAGTCTTATAAATGCAGACAACAAAGTACATATAGAGGAACGTCCAGACTATGATATTTTAGGACGTGGCTTTTACTTAGGTGAGTTTGACTTTTATAAGTCGTTCACTTGTTTATTTAGCGGAGCTAACCATTTACATTGATAGGACAAGAACCTAGTTATAGTCATCTTGGCGAGGGAGAAGAAGGGTTTTGGTATTGTGCTATTAAAGCAAGAGACTGGAATATGAAAAATATCAACAAAGTCTTTGTCCCGGAACGATATTGGATCGGCGGACTATTTAAAGAAGTAAATCTGGAAGCCTATCTTAAGTGGTTGACCAACAAAAAGCCTGAGAAACAGCTGCGCTTCACGTTTATTGAAAGGAGCGATACGCAGATGCAGATGCTTATTCCAATCAGTATGATCAATAATGATGATTTGGATCTGTGGGCTCAATGCTATGAATCAGAACAACAGCTAAGGGATTCTTCGAAGCATTTCAAGGATTTCATTAAATGGAGTAGTAAGTGGTTTTTTTGATTGGGATAAAAATTGGACAATCAAAGGAGATCGTCCTACGAAGTTGTATGTAATTGTAACGGGATGAAACTATCAATTCGGGCTGCCAAGGCTGCCGAGGCTGAGGGTGGACGCTCACAATGTACATATCCTTTTGTACTTTAGCATCTTTTTCTTTTTTCGAATACAATTTGAAATTTTGCCAAGACCTAGTTCTGCTATACCGTGATATATTATATACCTTCTTTACTCGTTACATACCTAGGTATAGTCCTTGAACGCGCGGACTTACCTAGCGATTCGCAAAACATCTCGAATACCTACTCGATTATCTTTTGCATGCTTTCGAACGCGCATATGGATTCAGCGGCGCCGGCGATAGCGTTGATAATACTATTGAAAACTCTTTCAAAACCTTCCCAGCACTTTTTCGTTGAGTTTCAGATAGAAGCATATCAATTGTAGAATAAAAAAAAATTAAATTGGAAGCTTTGAATAACGTCAATTGAGCGTAGCATTAAGCTACGGTACTACGTATATCTTCGTATAGCTTTAAAATCGGGGGGCATCTTAAACACTTTGAATTTACGATTGGCACGAGCTTTTTGGCCTAGTATTACAAATCCATTATAATTAATTTAAATAACATATTCAGGTCAAATAGCTTTTTGCTCGATCAACGCACTGATCAATTAGGAAACAAAGATTATACCTCATTAGCAGCCTCGTGCGCAACTGTAGAGGGTTTATGCGGTACTTACTACGTAGTACATTAAAGGCACTCCGATCATCCCATCTAAAGCTTCGGCCGTTACCGTGGGATCCATCGCTCATGGCCCCTAGGTTCGGTAGTCCGTAGGATGATAAGTATTTTGACTGTAGCTATCCGCCTACCCTGTCGGAAATGAGTTGATGTGCGCGCCTGCTGCCATCCTTACCTAGGTAAAGCAGCGGTTGCTCTTATAATGAGTGAAAATTTTCTCGCCCTCTCCTGATCGGATATTATCGCACCTTTTTGAATATAAAATAATTCACGTAGGTACACGAAGGTACACGTAGGTACGTCAAGTGAAGTGGACATAGTCACTCGGAATTGGCCGTAGAATAGATACCTAGATATCCATGCAGCCTTGCAGCTTAGCCCTTCCGGGGTTTTGTTAATTCTTAGTGAAGCAAGTAGGTATATGATTGAATATTGAATATTCAATATATACTAATGTACCGCTCTTGCATTCAATCAATCGTCGGTCAAAATATTGGAACTAAGGATTTTCTGCATAGTAATAGAATGAAGTCTGGAATAGGTCCAAAAGTTTTAAGGTTATACGTCTGGGGTTTTGAGGCACGTGAATCATATCCCTGTCTCCGCTTAGCACTAATAATCCATCCAGCTTCGACATTTTGCGAACACCTCCGTCTCGACCACCACTTTTACATGAAAAGCCACAATTTGTTTTCCCACCGCCGCACCTCATCAGACCCTTAGTCTTTCCACGCAGAACAATTCTTCGGTTCTTGTCCTCGGTATTCTTCATAATAATATTTTTCCAGGTCTGCGAGATCCTTCTCCGCCCTGCCTAGGACCACCATCGCCGCCCCGACACACATCGACCCTTCCCTCTTTCAGATCCCACTCATCTACGCGTTCGACATCCGTGACAGGACTCGACTGCCCCGAGACGAGAATTGTGATAAATACCTGTATCCTGTGGAAGATTTACCGTCTTCTCTATTCTTTGCGCGCAACAAGCCTTGAAATCTCCGCCATCCACCCCTTGACACTGGTCTCGTGAGGTCGACTTCATTTAGTCTTCCTCATCTCCCGACAGCCTAGCAGAATGGCGACCAACGGCAGCTTTGCTCAGCAGGAGCAGTACAAGAACGCGACTGAGCAGTACCCAGCTACCTCAGGTGCGACTGATGCCACCACCGGAAATGCCTCGGGTAACGACCTTTCTAAGGATGAGGTTGGATGGTACTTCGTTGAGCAATACTACACCACCTTAAGCAAGTCCCCGGAGAAGCTTCACGTAAGTGCTCAAGAAGCTCGTCCTCAATTTCGAATATGCTGACTTGCTGTAGCTGTTCTACGGAAAGAGATCTCAGTTCGTCTCTGGTCTCGAGGCCGAGGTCACTTCGGTTTCCGTCGGCAGACCTGTAAGTCTGATGCATTCTTGATTTCTATCACAAGCTAACTGTTATAGGCTATCCAAGAGCGCATCAAGGACCTCGACTTCCAGGACTGCAAGGTTCGCGTCTCCAATGTCGATTCCCAAGCTTCGCACGACAACATTGTCATCCAGGTCATTGGCGAAACCTCCAACAAGTCTGCTGAGTTGAAGAAGTTTGTTCAGACCTTTGTTCTTGCTCAACAACCTACCGGATACTTCGTTCTCAATGATATCTTCCGATACATCAACGATGAGGGTGAAGAGGAGCCGGCTGAAAACGCCCAGGAGGAGTCTGCTGGACCTCTTGTCGAGGATGTCGAGATGCCAAAGGCTCAGGCGACAACTGAAGAGTCAACTGCTCCATTGGACCCAGAGCTGGTTGATAAGAAGCTTGAGGAGGTGGTCGCTGAGCCAAAGAAGGTTGAGGAGGCCCCAGCCACCAATGGCACACCAGTTCCTGAGGTTCAAGCAACCCCAGTTGCCGCACCAAAGGTTGAAGAAGTCCCCACCCCAGAGGTAGCCGTAAAGGAGATTGAGGAGGAGATCAAGGAGCCAGAGAAGCCAAAGGACCCCCTCCCAAGCCCCGCCATCACCAGGGCACCGTCTGCCACCAAGCCAGCTGCTCCAACTCAACCGACCGGTCCTCCCAAGCCTTTGAGCTGGGCAAGCAGAGCCGCAGCTGCAGTCGGTTCAGCCCCAAAGCCTGTCGTCCCAGTCGTGGCCCCAAAGACCTCTACGCCCCCTTCCCAAGCTCGTGCCGCTCCTCCAGCTGCTAAACCTGTCCAAGCTCAAGCTCCAACCCCAGCCCCTGCTGAGAAGGAGAAGGAAAACGGAGCCAATGCTGGATGGCAAAATGTTGGCGATCATGCAAAGAGACAAAACCGACCCCAATCAGTCTCTGCTGGACCTCCTGAGAAGGACCCAGGTACTATGGGCTACGTCAGAAATGTCACAGAGAAGGTTCAGACCGAGGAGTTGCGCGCTGCATTGGGTAGTTTTGGCCAGCTAATCTACTTTGATGTCAACCGTGGAAAGGTAGGATTACTGCATCAGTAACTGTGTGTTTTTAACTAAATGTCCTTCAGAACTGTGCCTTCGTCGAGTATGCCACGCCTGAGGGATACCAGGCCGCAGCTGGGGCAAATCCACACCAAGTTTCTGGAGAGGCCATCTACGTTGAGGCTCGCCGTCCTAAGCCCAGCGCTTACGGAGGAAACGGATATCCCGGAGGAGGACGCGGAGGTCTCAACCAACGCGGAGGACGTGGCCAGTTCCAGAACAGAACTCGAGGCAGTGGAGGCGCTCCTCGCGGCCGAGGCACTGCAACTACATCTGCTTGATTTACCGACAAGATAATCCCTATCATATTTGCCGGCAACCTTCTTCCCAATCCCTCTCCGAAACTGTACCATACTTGAAATTCGACCCCTTCATGCGACCAGGACTCTTGTACTCTACCTCACCTTCTACCTTTTACGTTCGATCCCAGATCCTCGTTTCTCTTCCCTTGGCGCAAAAAGTTCAGCAGTTCTTCTCACTTGTTATAATGCCTTGATGTCTCATCTGCGTACGTCATTTTGCATTTCAAACGGTTGGGCTTTGGCCACAGTTGCAACTTGGCTGCGAATCGTCGAATTTCCTGGCACAAATCTCTCGGTGTTTTTGTTGGTCGATACTGGATCCTCTTTTTCAACAGTATGATAGTGGGTAGGGGCAGGCAGAGCGCGATTTTCGGTTGTTCGGTTGCATGGGCTTCGTGGGAGATTGCTTGGGAATGGCAGACGGTCATTTGGTGGGAGGGGTGGGTGGCGGCTTAGGGATTCTGGGTTCGCAGAATATGCTGCACGACTGAAGGGTGGAGTGGCTTGCTGATAGGCATGGCTTCCCAGACTATAGCTTTACAACTCAATCAATACAAAAACCCATTCCAATACTATCTTGCTAAAATGCTCTGAATTTGAAAGTCTTACATACCATTGAGCTCTACAATCGTGCAGCTCCAAACGTCGTAGAGCTTCTTCGAAGTGCGGCTCACTTAGGGCTCGCTCCTTCGGTGCATGTGAATTGCATATTTAGTTTGATAAGCAACTTCTTGCGCCACGACTATCTATTCCAAATAAAAAAGCGAAGTCTTAACGCTGAAGACTTCAAATTTCTCTGACCTCCTAGTCACGTTGGAGCCCCACAAAAAACCGAACCGCGTAAAGTGAGACGCGACTCTCTAAAGGAGAGCCCGTCAACCCAAACAGACTCACCAGGAAGTAAAGCAAAGGCAATCACTCGAAATGGCTCTGTAAGATCCTACCCTGATCTCAAATTTCTCAAATAACAGGCTGTTACCGGCAATGGCAAAACTGGTAGCTAACCGAGCAAAATCGGACAGAGAAAGTTTTGACAATATTTACCTCGATCTCTCCAAAGAACCAGGACGATGCCGTTTCGCCGAGACTGGATTTGGATGGAAGCCAACTGGAGGCGGTGACACCTTCACGCTCGACCACAGCAATATCGGCAGTGCGCAATGGAGTCGCGCGGCGAAGGGATATGAGGTCAAGATCATGCTGAGGAATTCGGGGGTGGTCCAGCTTGACGGCTTCTCCCAGGAGGTTGGTTGGCTCATCTCTGCCCTTGCTTGGAAACCGCACAGAACTCTGACATGGCCAGGACTTCGAGCGCATCGGCAAGGTCTTCAAGAACTGGTACAGCACGAATCTCGAACACAAGGAGCATGCGCTGCGCGGCTGGAACTGGGGCAAGGGGGAGTTTGGCAAGGCGGAGCTAGCCTTCAACGTCCAGAACCGACCGGCCTTCGAAATCCCCTACTCAGAGATCTCAAACACGAATCTGGCAGGTAAGAATGAGGTTGCGATCGAGTTCGCTCTGCCTGCGGGTGCTGATGATACCGGTACCAATGGCGCTCTGGGCGGTGCGCGAGGAAAGGGCAAGAAGGCAGGTGGTGGCAAAGACCAGCTGGTCGAGATGCGATTCTACATCCCTGGAGTCACGACGAAGAAGGCCGCTCTGGATGGCGAGGATGCGCCCAGCGATGCCGAGGATGCTGAGGAGGAGCAGAATGCTGCGAACCTCTTCTATGACACCCTGATGGAAAAGGCCGAGATTGGAGAAGTGGCTGGTGATACTTTTGCGACTTTCTTGGATGTTCTGCATCTTACTCCAAGGTATGGGATCTCTTTTGCGTCCATACGAGCACCTGCTAACAATCTCGCAGAGGACGCTTTGACATCGACATGTACGAGAATTCCTTCAGATTACGAGGCAAAACATACGACTACAAGATTACATACGATACTCTGAAGAAGATCATAGTTTTGCCAAAGCCCGACGAGCTGCATTTCATGATGTGCGTTGGCCTCGATCCTCCACTCCGCCAAGGTCAAACGAGATATCCCTTCCTGGTCATGCAGTTCAAGAAGGACGAGGAGGTCACCATCGACCTGAACATGACCGACGAATTACTCAATGATAAGTACCAGGGCAAGCTTGCTGCACATTACGAGCAGCCGCTCCACCAGGTCGTTGCGCAGGTCTTCCGTGGCCTAACTGGCAAGAAGGTCAACATGCCAGCCAAGGATTTCATGAGGTAATGTTTTCTCCTCCGCCATTATCTTTTTTTTTGGCCCAAATTTTCTAACTAGTAAATATCCTCTTCAAAGCCACCACCAACAGTACGGCATCAAGTGCTCCATCAAGGCCAGCGAGGGCTTCCTCTACTGCCTCGAGAAGGCTTTCATGTTCGTCCCCAAACCCGCCAGTTGGGTCCCCTTCGACAAGATCGACAGCATCGTCTTCTCCCGCGTTGGCGGCGCCGTGTCCGCATCCCGCACCTTCGACCTCACGCTCCACGAGAAGGGGAGCAGCACCGAGACCCAGTTCTCCAATATCAACCGGGAGGAGCAGAAGCCGCTGGAGGACTTCTTCAAGGTCAAGGGCCTACGGGTCAAGAACGAGATGGACGAGGATACTTCGGCGCTTCTCGCTGCGGCGCTCAGAGATCCGGATATGGTGTCTAGCGACGAGGAAGTTGTTGCTGCGAGAGCAGATCGAGGTAGCGCGGACGAGGATAGCGAGAGTGCGGACGAGGACTTCAAGACGGATAGCGAGAGTGATGTTGCGGAGGAGTACGATTCCGCCCACGAGAGCAGTGGCGGTAGTGACGATGAGGATGGGGCGGGAAGTGACGCGGAGCAGCGGCCAGCGAAGAAGGCGAAGACTGGCTGAGTGGTGGGCGGACCTGGGTTTCAAAAAAGCTGCATATTCGGCGTTGGGTGGGAGTGACTGGGAATTCGCTGCAAATACTTTTTAGTGCCGGACGTTGGCATACCATAATCGAACGTCTTTTGAATACCCCCTTTCCTAACGTCAGGCAATTTTGTGCCTTACTTAGAGAATTTGTCTGATGGTTTACAGCAACGCGACATGACATGATCAAATGTGGAATCTCGGATTGCAGTTTCACTTCATCTCATCTTGTGCACAGTTGAAAAGTCTGAAGTTCTATTTCATTTCATCCCTTTCATCCAGTCTCACCAATTCAGACACAATTCATAAAACACCACCCACTCTTTCCGTCCCACGCCCACCTCTCCTCGAAACCCCCTCAAACTCTCAAAGCCTTCACCTTCTTCTCGGGAAAGTAATCCGTGAAGCCGAATCTATATCTCTCATCAGTCTCTTCCAACACCAAACAAACTCAAATCCCTCGTACAAGTTCGGGGGCCTGGAAGATTCAACTTACTCGCAAACGTTCCCATTACACCCTTGATTCGGCACGTTGTACGTGAACGTGTTCTGGGGGGTGGTGTAGGTCGCGGTCAAGCTCTCGGCAAGGCTGGGCCAGGAGAAGGACAGGGCGTAGCCTTCGACGCAGGGGATTGTGTCTTGGGCGGGCACTTTTGGGGGGGGCAAAGTCAGTGGATTGGGATGGAAGGGAAGTGGTTGGGGGTGTATGGAGGGTGATGTGTGATGTGTGTATGCATACGTGGTGATCCGTGGTGGACCGTGCCGGAGCACTTGGGCGCGTCGCCGATGCGGCCGTTCAGCACTTGCAGCGTTACGGAGGAGGAGCTTTGGGAGCCGGTGCCGCTGCCGGCTATCGAGAAGATGCCGCTTGCCGCGAGAGCGGAGGTGGTGGTGGTCTGTATGCGTGGATGGGGCCAGGTCAGTCAGGGTGTCAATGGCATTGGGTATCTTGGGGAGATCGATGATCATGAAGGGGAAGGATGGAAGGGTTTCCCCCGGCGACTACGTACGAGAGCGAGGACAGAGGCGAGGATAGCGAACTGCATCTTGACGTTGATGTTGCTGGTGGCCTGGGACGGTGGGTTTGGTGTTTTGTGATGTGGAATGGAATGGAGTGGAGTGATAGTGATCTGCGTGGAGGAATATCTGAGAATGGAATGCGATATTGGTGTGGAAGTTGATGTTGATGTTGAAGTGGTTATGGATGTTGATGTTGATGTTGATGCTCATTCCACAGGGAAATCTGGGGTCCTTATATACCCATCTACCCAGCCACCTACTTCACCGTCCCTTCCCTCCTGCCCTCCTCCTTCCTCCCTCCTCTCATACAGAAAATCCACTGCCGTCATAGATTTCATCGAAATCATACGATTGCCCTCCCTCGTGACCCGATTGCATAGCCAGAGCATCAGATGAAGTTGCCCCGTACGGTGCCTCGTCTTCGTGCCCACCTGCCAATCCTCGGTTCTCATCTCGGTCCTCGCTTCCTCCTAAAGATCTGTACGAAATACTTAACGACTGTTGATATATACTCGGCAAACAGACAACCGACATATCGCGAAATGCTCGCGCCTTATGTGCAATAAGGTGAAGTGGTTCCTCTCCCAACGTTCTACCACACAGCCTAAGAGCACCAGGGAGCGTGCCGTACCTTGCCAACAACGACTTTGCCCAGGATGAAACAGAGACGGATCAAATACAACCACATGAGCAAAAACGCGATCAACCCCAAGATAGCCGTCGCCTTTCCAAGAATGGCCACTATGACTCCATCTCCACGACGTCCGCTGGAGGTGTCCTCCTTCATCGCCCCTTCCTCGACTTTTGCCTCGACATCTCCACCCGTCTCCTCGTCTCCAACTTTCTCCTGCTCTTCAAGCCGTGCGTGCCTTATGTAACCGATACCGACTACGAGCAGCCGCAAAACTATTGGTCCAAAAAAGCCGATGCATGCGATCCGTGACATAAGGCCAATTCTTGAAATGGGACCGCATAAGTCCAGATCGACCTGTAACAGATGAGACTGGCTATCATCACCGGATTTCAGGTGTGGAAAGTGTGGAGAGACTTACGACGAATGTGAGATAGACGAGAATGGGAGTCATGCAGATATAAACCAAACCCTCTTTCCACCAGACTAGATCGGGATTGCCGGTGGTCTTTTGTTCTTTCGAAGCTGGTGCCTCACTGCTTGCTGTTGCTGGCAGCATGGTGGGATTTTCGTCTGTCCGGTCTTCGGGTGAGTGTAAGGTGTGTTGTATCGGAGTCGTTGGCGGTTCTAGATGCATGTTCAGGTCGAATGTTTTGCGCCACGTCAAATGATGAAGTTCAGGACAGTTCAAAGGTTGTCAGATGTATGGCCTTGATAGAATCAAAAATGTATCTATGTAGATTTAAAGTATGTAAGAAGAAGGTACATATATATAGGAAGGGGATGTGTGGGCACTAAAACCAGTGTCAAGCTAGACCAGTGTTGGGGTCAGACTAAAGACGACGGTGGAACGCTTTGTCTAAAAATGATTTATATTCTTTGGGTAGCGTAACAGATGACGGAATAGTTCGTATCAAAAGCTGTCATTGTTATGCGTCTATCAAGTGCAATCTAATTCCTTGTACTAGAGCGACTACTTTTTCTGTTTAAAGCGCAACTTGATGCGATATCACTTACAAAGTCTGATCTATGATTCATGTCCAAGATTCGCAGCCAGATACGTTAAGAACATAAGTCTTACGAAGACAAAAATTCAAAAAGACTCCAATTCAATGCATAAGCGATAAGCACCAAAGACCCCATCATATGCTGAATCACCTTTCTAAAGCCAGGGCCACGCAAACGCCTCCGGTGCCTAAGGTAGGTATAGCTCCCCAAACACCCTTCCAAC